AGCACGCGTCCGACTACTTCTTCCACTCTAGTCTTCAAGAACGCGTTTTACCATGGTGCAGTATTGAAGACACTCAAGGCACTCGAAACACTATTTCAACATCACGCTGCAAGAACCCATTCTCCCCAACTTTCACTTCGAATACGTCCCAAACGTTTTTAGGAAGCAAGCCGTCAAACTCAAAGGCCTTGACATAACCAACATGAAGTTCAGCAGCGTTCTGGGCACATTTGCCCTCTCAACTCTGGAGGTATACCCTGCCTATGCGAGTCCTTTTGACGCAATCTCTCCGGAAACTCAGCTATTGCAAGGGAGAGACGGAGAGACCTGTTGTGTGATTGTGTGAGTTGTGCCTTGCTCTTCTGTCACCTGTGTAGAATGGTGTCAAACATGGCCGTTGCCTGAGTAGCTATTGTCCATCTTGTCTACATTTTTGCTAAACACTTATAATGGCAGCGACAAAAAAGTATACCCAGTCACCTTTACCGGAGAGATCAGGGTCCTCGTTACCATACAGGGCCAGTGTAAGGTCTCCGTCAATCAAATCGAGTCACCAAGCTCAGGAGGCTGTGACATGTGGTCCGTGGTTCGCGAAGGGTGTCCCGGACCCAGTGATCCTGATGTCCAGGTCGTGCCTATGGACTATTGCAGCTAGGGAAAGGAGACGAAGGAGTGCATAGCCATGCAGTGACATGCGCTGGACCACTTGGACCGGGCCATAGTTGTTTGGAGAAACATACGATGATCCACGGGTGGAAAGAACGTTTGAGTCCTGACACCTTGGACCCAGGGCGAGCCGCGAGCGCTGTGACAATTGACCGCTTATTGCGTGGGAGCACCACTGTTTTGATGGCGGAACGTTGCGATTTGCGAAGAGCCCAAGTTTTCATATCATGTCGCGTAATGGCCATCTATGCACGCAGATACTTATGGTGCCTTGGTATATGTTCCTCGTAAGATATACTCGAGGATATGCGTCTGGTCAACGTCTTTTTCGCGGTTATCTCTTCAGGCGTCGTTGATATCACAAGTGGGAGGAAGTCCTCGTCCACAACGTGAGATGCCTCGATCTTTTCGAGTGAACCCCCCTTTGTCTCCGTACACACACCAGGCTCAAGGAGTTTTTCGTCAGTTGCAATATGTGCAGCTTGATTGCCTGTTGAGAAGGCCAAGCAGACACGACTCCTTGTGCGGGGCGTGAATGCAGCTTTGAATAGCTTTGAACGGTTGTGGTCTGATATTGCCATTACTGCTCAAAGGTAATGAATGGGTGGTACATGGACATAGAGGTTTTTCCTTTCTTTTTATGGACACACTGTACGGACACTCTTGAAGGAATCCTTGGCAGATGTCACATGATATGTACATCACGCGAGGCTTCATCGCCGGGGCTGACTTGGGCCTGATTGCGAGAAACATAGAAAGAAACACCCTCAACGAAGGTCTCGTGGAGTGTGCTTATAGAACTGTTGGACAATAAACGTGAGTCTCTTGGATGGCTGCTGTTTTTATCCTCCATGCAGGCGACTCTCTCACTGCGCAATACTCTCCCTCAAACCCTTGGTCCTCAGCGTAAAGCCCCCTTCCTCCCCAAACGGCAGACCGATACCACTGTCCTTACCCCATTCGTCATCCATCTTCATCATGGCACTCCTCAACGCGTCTCCATGCCGATTCATCATCTCGCTGTCCACACTGGCCTGCCGACTTCCTGCTATACTGCCACTGCTGCTGCCGCTCTCGCCATCGGCATCCAAGGCAAAGGGCAAAGCAGGCACGGCGCCAGCATTCCCGCTCCAGCTTCCTCGTGCGTGGCCATTGAGTTTTTTCCCGTCCCATAGGCCCCGTACGCCGCCCTTTTTGCGCTCGGGCATCTCCTCTGTGCCGGCGCTGCACACATACAAGAGGTACTTTAGATTCGGGAGGGAGTGGCGAATATCGACGACCTTGAGACCCTCGGATGCGCAGAGAGCTTCGATATTCTTATTGAGGAGGAACCAACCGTATTCGAAGCGCCATTGGCCAATTGTCGAGCCGCCACGCGGTAGGTAGAGAGGAAATTCACGACGCTGCCGCTGCCGCTGCCGCTGCCGCTGAGGCTGCCGCTGGGGCTGGGTGTCTGGGATGTTTGATATGTCGTCACGAGCGTAGGACCGGGAGCCATAGACGGACAAGGGATACGGAAGAGGCGAGGAGAGATAGAATGACAGGTGGCGGGTGAGCAATGCGACGAGGCCTAGGGCCCCCGAGAGGACATCTTCGCCAATCACTTTGGCAGTGGCGGCATCGTAGACGGAATTCGGCAGAGGTAAGCCGCATATTTGAAAGGATAGTGGCGGTGCATTGGGGATGGGCGTAATGGGAAACATGTCACACAGCTCGGAGCAGATGCGCCGTCTCTGGCCGTGAATTTGCTGCTCCGTTTGCTGCACCAGCTCGACAGACGCAGCTAGCTTCTCGCTGTTGTTTTGGATGTCCGCCTCTGCTAGAGCCTGAATCCGTCTACCCTGAGCGATGGCCTCACGCCTACTTCGGAGAGATTTCCGCAGGTCAATACGCTTTGTCTCCGCTGCCATGTTCGCCCGACGCTGCATTGAGACATATTTCATTGCCAAGGCAGTCGCTTCGTTGGCAGCAGGATTCGGATCGGCCGGTGACTGGTCAAGTATCTCATTGATCTGCTGCATTATTTTGCGCTGCGTCTCCATGGCGTCTTGAACCGAGCTCTCGAGGTTGGCGAGCTTCATGAGGGCAGTGTACGACGAGGTGGCAACCAGAGGCGCTGGCTTTGGGTCAGCAGTCCTTGTTGGGAAGTCCATGGAGTACAAGCCATCTTGCAGGTGAAAAACAAGAGCATTGGGCGGAAAACGGCGATCAGTCAGCGTGCCAATGAAGTTGAGTCGTCGAAGGTCGATAATTTCTTCCAGTAGGAAGGTCCATGATGCTCGCTGGGGACGTTTGCACCAGACGCGAATGGTGAGAATGCATGCTCTTGAAATGCAGGCTTCCCGAGAAGAGAGATGGAAGAACTGAAAATCAAAGTTCTGGAGATCTAAATTAGTGTTTCGATTGGGACCGAGGAGAAAGAAAACGCGACAAGGGACAGGATAGTATGACGCACTGCGGATCGGTTGCGGACTTCGCTGATGTAGACGGGCTCGTCGCAGTCTGCCACATGCAGCGAGAAAAAGACGTCGCCTACAGAGCTATCGACGAGAGATTTTAAATCTTTCTGCCGTGTTACGGGATTCGCATGGGCCACGCTCAAGCTGCTTCGTCGGGGCTGGGCTCTCGGCCTCCTCTTGTCAGCGCGGAGGCTGTCCAGGCGCAGGCTCTCTGAGGATCGCGAGGCGCGAAGCCGCGACGAACCTGTTTCGTCGAGGTTGCCGAGCTTATTGGGGCTTCTTTTGATAGCGGCGTCATCTGATATGTGCGCATTGCCAGGGCCGCGGGGCGCGAAGGACAAATTCCGTAGAGAGAGCCCCTTTAGATGGCGAAGCTTACGGTTCTGAGGAAGCAGACGAGGTCGGCGGGGCTCAGAGAGCGTGGGCATGATGTGCGCATGCTGGCCCGCGAGTGACGTGACGATCAAAGTCGGAATATACGGACGTCAATGGTCAGCGCGTCACGAACGAAGTCGTCTCAAAAGCATGGATCGTTTTGGTAACGGCGTTGTCGAAGCTAGGTAGTACTCGTTGTCGTGAGTCGTAACTTCGACGTTGGCGCCGCTAGGGGATTAGGTTAGGTACTTGCGGAGACAGAGTGGAGCAGGGTGCTGGCTTTGTCGTCAACAGGTGGTCATGATGAAGGGCAGTTGTAGGTATGTACATACCTATGTAACTTGTAACTGTACCTAAGCAGCGGCATTTTGCCACTGGACAGTACAGTCTACCTAGGTACCTACCTACCTTAGGTACCTAGGTATGTACCTACATACCTCCTCTACAGTTGTCAACTATCAAGCAATTGATGAAGCAATGCATCGTTCTTTCCCACTTTGGGTCAGCAACTGTATATTACGCCAGCGCCTGGGCCGAACACCTCTTTTGCATTGTGATTGAAGCTACATACGTACTTCCTATCGACTGAAGCACTTTAACAAACGTGGAGAATTAAGCACACTGTGCGTCGCGAGCTCCTGTCGACCGATCACGATGAGGCTGGGCCAACGTGCACCATCATCATCATTCTTGTGAATGATGTATCCGCGCTGGCCAGCCTGAACAAGGCATTGGAAGATCCACGAACAAATATCAAGGCCAGACAGAGTACACAGGTTGGTCATGGTGAGCCACCATCATGCTGTGTGGCCCTTTCTAAACCTCTTTGCTTGCGCAAATGGGAGGAGCATCTACAGCGGAACGAATTATACATGGGTAGGTTCTCGAGCTGAGCGACAAAGGGACTTTTCCGACACTATACCGCAGTCAGCAAACGTATGTAACCCTCAAAATACGACGCCTCATTGAACAATTAAGATAATTGAACGAAATGGGTTTCTAAAAGAAGCAAAGACTCCCGTCGCCATGAGGTAGTTTCACCGCAAGCGAACGCATGAACTACGCATTATGCGTCTGCCCGGTTATTACCACGGCGCGCCGGCGCGACTGGAGACAACTCAGAGAGTTTGGCTCACGCACTATGACGACAGCTGGCACCATCGCTCTGAAAGCTGATGAAAGGTCATCCATTCTTCGGATGTTTGGTGATGGGCATACGTATCTGGACGCTCACGGCTTCCGCGCGTATGTTTGAGCAAGAGGGTATTGTTCCAGGTACTTGCGGTCGCGACCGCGTCGCGGGAGAAGGGGTGAAGCAAGCTTTTGCGGACCATCGCCGAGGAGGTTCAGAATTCAACCTGCACTGCTTTCAAGTTTCGACGTTCGTGCCGGACAGGGTTTCCGCGTGGTGACCACTGAGTCACTGACCACACGAGTCGAAGACTGGACTTCATCCTTAACAGGTATTAAGGACCAGTCAAACATCAATCAGTAACTTGAGGCACTTTGGCCGAGTGGTCTAAGGCGCCGTGTTCAGGCTAAGAATTGCTCTCGCAGCAGATCTACCTCTTCGCGGTCTAGTAATAGGCGAGGGTTCGAATCCCTCAGGTGTCATTCATTTTTTCTTTTTGCCGCCATATTTAGGCCTTTGGACTGCGGCAGCCTGCAGGTACGTATGGTTTTCAAGTTTGCATTCTTTCGCTCATGTTCACTGTGTGTGATTTCCTTCGTTCTTTTTGCCCCCGAATCCCCTCACTCGAGTCTCCACACCAACTTGTTAGAAGACTCAAAGAGACAACTCAACATTGGCGGCGTTTTTCCACCAAATACACAACCGTCTGTAGTGCTCGCTCCCCTCTACGCCTCATCGCGATAACCTCAACGTACTGTCTCACTTCTCCATGTCTCATCTTCCAGTCGCTCGGGTACCGGGCATCGGGTCGGGTCGGGTCGGGAGAGGGCCAGAGGCGTTCGGCGCTGTGCGAACGGACAGTCTTCAAGGCGCCCTGCCAATTATGCATCGCGAGCGTTCAAGCGAGCGTTCAAGCAACGTGATGTTCCAATCAGGACTTGTATAGGGACCTAGATCGACAAGCTCTGGACCACATCAAGGCCAGCGAGAGTCAACGAATACTCCGTAGGAACAGGTATGTAGACAGGACTTTAGCGGATATTCCCGTGCACCTCCAGGACTATTCTTATGGGCTCATTCTGCCGTGGAGTTTCGTTCGGATCACATTGAGACAGTCCTTTCGAGCACAACGCTCGGTCAGTCCGCTCACTAGGCCAGAATTGGCGTGTGACACAACTACAAATATGTGCCGTTTATTCACGTGCTGTGCGAGAGGGAAAGAGCTACGAGGTCGAGTCCTCAAGAATGGGAAGAAGAGGAAGTGTCAAACACCTCACGACTGGTACAGAATTCCTTGATTCCTTGATTCCTTGATGTCAGATGAGCATGCAATGGACAATGGACCCACGATCTTCCGCCAGAGACCGACTGAAAGCCTTGTCTCTGTCGGAATGCCCTCTTATGTCTTTCTGCCTTCTTCGAGGGGCTCTCTCACTGAGTATGACACTTGGTGACGGGAAACGTTCCCCCGCAAACTGAAAGGCAAAATACTTGCCTCTATTTCCACATTGCTGACCAAGGCTCCCCGCAAAGCTCGGGGGCGACAATCTGGTAAACTCGACAGAATTACTGACTTAGCAGGTGGACTATACCCCGGGATAGTTCATCTATACTACGGTCGCATTCTTATTAGTATCCGTGAGAAGGGCGCAAGCAGAAGCCGGACAGATGCCCAGATGCCAGTTGTCACACAACTCTCACTCTAATGCCAGGGCTGACTGGCTTATCCAGCCAAAAGCAAAATGAACCTCGTCTTTTCTCCACGAACGCTCGTATATGTATGGCTCAGTTGTGCCGTATTTGCACCATGTCACTCGTCTTGTGGCATCCTCACACTGTTTTGTTTCTTGTTTACCTCTTCTCAGATCCCTGTCATGGGCTGTGCCCTTTTCTCACGTTCTGGCTTCAGTGGTGCAACACAGTGGCCACTGGCGAGATCAAGATCCGGAGACTGGACGATGACGAGCCCAACTTGTCATTTCATAAGTCGGGGAGAGGGAGGAGGGACAAAGGAAATGGGTCCAAACCCGGATGTACGACTTGGCGACGTGCCGTTACCGGCACACCCGAGTATCGGCACCTCGCTCGTCGCCACGGCGTTTTCACGGGCTACTGTGTTACCAGGTGTTCTCTACTACATATGCCGTTACTCCGAGTCTTTTAACGACAAGGGACCGCACGAGTGAGGAACGATGAAAGAGTGGGACGCAGACACAGTATTGGTACGTGATGGACGTATGAGCGTATCAACGTGACGATTCTTGCACGTATACCAGCTTTCCAGTCACCACCCTATGATAAACCTTACCCTCAGTACGCCACTACAGAATGGACACAGCACTCGAGCTAGGGCTTCTGTGGGCATGTCTACGTATCATCTTGAATGAAGTCCACCGGTTTCTCTCCCCGCAGAGCCTTCCACCAGCGGGCTGCGGAGCGGAACGGGCAAGTCCGCCAGGCCTCCAAAGGAATATGGGCTCAGACCTTCCGGTACCACTAACTAAGCAATCGTTACACATTGGAAGTTGAAATATACGGCACGACCTCTGGAGAATTACACACAGTCATTCGTGGCCTTTTAGCGCCACCAGCACCACCTGACGCTATAGGAGACTTCTCTCATCCACATGGATATCCTTTTCCTACAGAGTAACGTACCATACGGATATGTCCTCCGCACACAATGTGGCGTCGTGCCAAGCTCTTTGCCATTGGACTGATCCTCAGCCTTGAGGTCCCCTTCCCCCCTTTGTTCGAACTTCGTACGCCCTTCCCTTCCCCACACGCCATGCATCGATGATCGAGGGAGATCCCGCGGCCGTCGATGCAGCAAAAAAAGCTTGAATAAGGTCGTTGGAAGGAGCTAGTCTGCGCTACCCCACGGCTTTTGTAAGGGTCCCCCAGCAGCCAAAATCGGACGATAGATGCATGCGGGATCGAAAGCTACTTCTGCACGAGAACACGAGGGCCACAGCTGAAGATGCGCGCTATGTTTTTGAGCCCGTCTGTGTGACCCTGACTTTGGTCGTGATTGGGAAGGCAAGAAGTCTCTTTTAAGCCACGTACGTCGGATCAGGTGATATCACAGTATGTGGTTGTCTTTGGGGCCGGAGCAATGAGAGCAGCAAGACTACGAGGCGTAGCGAGACACGACTTACACGCAAGACACGGCGTGTAAGTCGTGTCCAACGAGGGGGTAACGTACTGTACCTCACTCTTGATAGTGACTGATTCTCGTGATATCAGAGGGTTTTGCTGCTTCCGTAAGTGTTCAGTGACCTGCAATCCCTCCACTAGTGACTACCAAGTCGGGCTCATCTCACGCGAAGACTGAAGTCTGTATAGAACCGATTCTGTCGATGCAGGAATTCGGATTCCGAAGTCGGAAGATCATCTCAATGGCCTGCTACCAGTGATAGGAGGTCTTAAACAACGATGGGGTGGTAAGAAGGCAGATGGAGGGTTGTCTCGGAGAGAGTGAGTTTCTTCTTGTGGACGCCAAGACAATATGCTGCCCCTGGTAAGCTGCCTTGGTAATTCGAGAGAAGGGGGGACTAACACAAGTATGACGAGCATGGTGATCCGTCCGGGCATGTGGCATGTGGCGTGCGAAAGCGAATTTGGTCCGGCGCGTCATGTAGGACGACCAGGTGACAGTATCTCAGCAGGTATCCTGGATGTTCGTCAAACACGACCTCGACTGAAAGCGGAATTCGTATTGTGAGGTTTCCAAATTCCCCAAGGAGGTACTCTCGAATATAAAAGGTATAAAAGGCCCCAGTATCCCCTCGTATCTCAACGATCTTTTCTTCTCTCCATCCGACCAAGCCATCTCTCGTCCTCTTCTTCGACCTTACTTCGTCTTCTGTAATCAGCATCATCCCTCTCTACTTCGCTTCAAACTCCCCAATCTCGTCATCATGAAGTACACCGCCGCCATCGTTGCTCTCGCAGCCACCGTCATTGCCATTCCCACCGGAGGCGGCGACAACTCTTACAGCTGCAACAACGACCACCCCAACTACGTCTGTTGCCAGGGCGGCCTCCTCGGAGGAATCCTCTGCAACCTCAACCTTCTTGGTAACAACTGCGGTGGAGGCAGTTACTGCTGCAAGTCTGCTCCTCAGGTACGTTGCCCATTCTCATGATGCGCCCATCGCGGAGTCTATCCTTTACTGATATGTATTCTTTGTGTCTGTACAGACCGGCCTGATCAACATTGGCCTTGAGTGCATCAAGCTGCTCTAATTGCCCCTTTTCCTTCGCCACCCTATTAACCGCCAATATCGCCTCCTAAACACGCGATGTTGGGGTGAATCCTTGCCCAACGCTTGGCACATTCACACGGGGCCCTCTCTCCGCTCTCCATCCACCTACTACTGCCGGTGCGGCACGGTAGCAGCTAGCTAGACAATACAGGAAAAGGATTGAAAGAGGATGATGGCTCATGGACGCATTGTGTGAATGAGCAGCTTTTTCGCCGCCATCTTGTAATCGATCAGGATGCGTCAAGGGTTGGGTTTTCGGATGGGGTGGCTGGACGAAGCAGGTCTGTTTGCATACAAGGGATTCAAGTGGATGTAGCTACTTATTAGTAGCATGCGTAGATGGACGCTTGTACTTGGTCGGACGCTTCCTTTCTTTCAATTTTTTCGTGTTTCCTGCAGAGGAATTGCCTCACACAAGCAGAGTATTTTCGAGCTGTCAATATACCGTCCTAGTGCTCTGATACCATGATGTCTACGCGCGCCTTGCATCCCGTAGGTACGGTGTGATACGCATACTCCGTACTATGTATAGACATGTGTGTCTACGGGGTACGGGATACAAAAGAAGTATGTAAAAAGATGCAGCTTCTCCATTAAAATAAAGAACGGCTTCGTGCTATGTATAGTGCCCCATAAGAAAGACATCTACAACGAAAATGCCCAAGGAAAAAGCAAAAACGCACAAAACGCCACCAGAATGCTCATGAAGTCTAGAGTCTATAAATCCTTATTCTTGTCTTTCGGCGTCCAGCTGTATTGGACCACACCAGGCCCAGGCTGCAACCCAAGAAAGTATAACCACAAGCGATGTGCTTCGTTGATGGAGATGCGATATCTGGACAAGTCAGTTAGACGAATTCGAAGACGGAGGGATTTCGATACACGCAGAGAGAGAGAGAGAGAGAGAAGAAAGGGAAAGCTTACAGTAAGATCGGCCCATGCCACCAAGTGTACAGAACCAACTTGACAGATTGTTTGAATAGTGCGAATTCGTAAGCAAACTCGTCTCGTATGGAGTCGCTCCGTGGACCTCGTGCTTGCATCTCCAATAGTTCCTCCCATGGTCCCTTTGAGGCGCTGGCGGTCTCTGGTTCGCTTTCGTCCTCTTTTCTGCCCTTCGAGATGTTCTGGTCTTCTGTGCTAGGTGAGGCGATCGCGTCAGGGGTAGATGGCTCCTTCTCTACCTGGGGCAACGTCTCTCCATTCTCAGCAGC